TTATTATAATTATTATTACTACAGTAGTACCCCGCTTAACGCGGTCAATAGAACCCACAGGGTACCGTGTTAAGTGAAAACCACGCTAAGTGAACAACAGAACATATGGGATTAATTCCAATAGAAACTGGCCAGACCCCCAAACTCCACTTTTTGACGACACACAACTATGTTGTAGTAAAAATTTTATCTTAACTTTATGATGGTATGAACAAACAAGTAATATAGAAGAGGTTAGGTTAGGAAAAATAAAGGTTAAGTTAGGAAAAATAAAGGTTAGGTTAGGAAAATTAAAAGATAGGTGTAACACTTACGTTAGTAGAAGACACACACTGCTCAACCTTACAGCGCGGCTTGCCCAGGCGGAGGGAGGCGGGAGGGAGGGAGGAGGAGGGAGAGGCGAGAGCAGGCAGGCAGGCGGGTGGCGGGTGGGGCGAATCTAAAAATAGCCTCTCGAGCCGGACACTCTGCGCGTATACGTGGAAAAAATCCGCTTTAAGTGAAAGTTCGCGTTAAGCGGGGTATTACTGTATTACATTTTCGCCCCCCAGGCCCTGATGTGGGTCAGTGATCTATGCCCGGGTGGGCTAATCCCTGTTAAAATAAATAAATAAATAAATAAATAAATAAATAAATAAATAAATAAAAATTGCCCCACAAAAAAAATCTTTCGGTTGTCAGAGCTTTTCGGTTTTCGGAATTTCGGATAAAGGGTTGTCAACCTGTAATTCAACAATACACCTCTGAACCACTAATTATACACCTGTGTTTCTAAAGCACCATGGACTGCTAGAAACTTAAATTAAACAAATATTAATGTAAAATAAATGTGAAAATGCCATAATTTTTAGCAACATTATTGCACACACTTTTATCTCTAGTGCAAACTATGTGATGTTTGTACTCAAATTAATCACTATCTTACAAGGATTCAGCAGTGCAATTTATATTCTGCTAAGTCTACTCAGCTTCTGTTTTATAAGATAAAAACTTTAAGCCTAAAACTAGCTTCACCTAGGCTGGGAGGAAGGGAGGGAGGGAATGAAGTTAAGTGTCCCCTCATAATTTTGTCCGGACTAAAGGAGGTGCCGGATAATCGGTGGTGTACCTGTACTTGTTCTGCTTCAGCTTTCCTCTTTTTAGATGTACTCATTATCATTTACATTTTATGGATTAGGGCAACATCACACAAGTACAAATTCTGACAGACCACAGTAATGTCCTCTTCAGTGAGAAACAGAGAGAAGACTGAGGCACTGATCTTCTCTAGTGTTAGTGCTGGACACTCGATCAGTGGAGACTTTATTGAGGTGTGGGTGTGGCTGTCCCTGTCATAAGTCGAGAGTGAGTTTTACAGGCAAGGTTTTACTGACCTCTCTTTGCCTAATCCTAATCCCTTTGGATAACCATACTTTGGGGTATTCCCAAGGTCAGGTCAACAAGTGATAAACTAGTCTTGCTGTGATGGGTGGCCAACTCCCACATAATAATGATCATTTCTTAGATTTTAAAATTATTTTTTTCCTTATTGCTAATGCAATGGCAAACCATGGAAATAATTTGGTGGGCCACATTTGGCCCACTGGCTATGTCTTGCCCACCCATGGATCTAAAACACCTAATCCATCTGCATATCTGAATTACCCCATGAATCATGTTATGCCTGTAGGCCTGCTAGCCCTCTGAGGACATAGGCTATGCATACTGTACTGGTATATGTCTCATCACAACTTGTCATACACCCATGCCTAAGGGCATAGCATGATCTCTATTCACTTGTTTTGAATAAGGGTTATGAAAGGGACGTGAGGAGTATGTAAATTACAGTATTCCCTTTAAAGCTTGCGTCCCTCGGAAACTCACGGATTGCCATGGAAAATAAATAAAATAAATCTGAGGCTGTGTTCCAGGGATCAAGAGGTGTCAACACTACAGGACAGTACAGAGCACCATATTTCCCAGGTCATAAGATGCACCCTATAATTAGCAAGGTGTATTTTGGAAAATTAAATTTTGCAGATTTAATAGCCTACTGTACTGGCAAAGCCAAGTCATTGGCTATATGCTATCATGTTTCTTACTACCACAGCCCACGATCACTTAATGGACCTATTATGAAACATTTGTTGGTATTAATAAAATTTACCTAATTTAATACAAAAGGATATAATTATACGTACAGTGAGTTCTGCTATAATGCGTGTTTTGACAGCGCGAATTGGCTCTAACGAGATTTATGAATAGAGGAACGATATTTGTATAACGCGAACGCTTGTTTGCTGTAACGCGATTTTTGCTTACTATTTCTCCAACTTTGTGGTATTAACTGTGAATATGGTAAAGAAGAATATCTCCAAGAAGCGTTCTGGTGATCGCATTCCCGGTGATGATAGTAAAAGAAAGGCTATAACACTTGAAGAGAAGCTCGATGTTATCAACCTCAAAATCACCCTTCTCCCCCATCAAGTTATATTAAATAATAATAATAATAATAATAATAATAATTAATACTTCTTCACGGTAAAGTGTTACATTTACTGTATGATTTCATTATTAGATATGAATGTAACATTTATTTAGACTGTGCTAACCTTTGTGTTAGGCTAACTACTAAAATTTTTTCGATTTCGAGTAGTAATCTGCACCTAACCCTATTTTCTCCATAAGCCCTGTTATTTCTATTACGCGAATTTCTATAACACGATGTTTTACAAAAACACAACTATCGCGTTACAGCAGAACTGACTGTATGGGTACCTATGGTATACACATTACCAATACTTATCGGTACCGGGCATGTTCACTAGGAAGTGTCCAGTACAGGGATTGTTTACATCCTGTGCACCAGATCAGCTGACATATCAGAGGTATTGTCCTTGCATTGTCACTACCACAACTATCACTGTGTGGGCCTAATGTCCATACAGTGTTATTTCATGTTTGTTTATTTATTAATATTATTTCAGATTTATTATGTTGTCTTATGCATACATAATGTTGTTATGCATGTGCATATACTGTAGCTATTTATATATGTATTTTGCTCACTCCTGGGACTGGCATGAAAAACTTTCGGATTTTGCTTTCTCACGAGGTCCATTTTACCTAAGCTCAGCGAGCTTTAAAGGAATACTGTATCAGCATTTACCATGATCATTTTAGGGTTTCACAGGAGAACCCCCAAAAACCTTTGGTAAAAATATTAATTAATTATTCCCCACTGACTGTGTCATAAAATGTGCTATCAGGATCAAGCCCCTATTTTTATATTGTCTATTTCTCAGGATGATGTGACATGGAGTACAATAAAAGCTTTTTTTTGGACTTGGACTATTGGGAGATTTATATTTTATTTTTTTCCTTTTCCTGTCAATGTTAGGTCATAGGGAAACTCCAGACATTTTATGGAATTACAGTGTTGATAGATCTGTTTTGGAGAAAGAAAAAATTACTGTAATTTCTTTTCCTGCTTGAACATTGGTCAAATCCTTATCTTCTTGTTTTGTCTCAGAAAGTGGGTAAGAAAAAAAAATGCTCTTTCTTCATTCTGTTTTTATAATGTTCAAGTTTGTGTTTTACTAGGCTACTTCATTTTCCTTAGTCTTTTATTAAGTTTAAATTATTTTGAGGTTTGGTGATGGTTTTTCTCTTTGCCTTTCTTTGTGGATTCTTCCCATTCTTACTAGCCTGAACAGTAGTACTGAGCCTAATTAATTGGGGGCAGTTTCACCCAAATTGTCTTGATTAAGACTATGTGGTCTGATATGGTAAGTGGCTATAATAATTATCAATAGCATCCGACTGGGGGTTCCAGGATAACATTGTGAGACTTTATATAAGGGAAAGGAAAGTTAGATTGTGTGTAGTACATTTCTGGCATTTATGGATGTCATATGAAAATAATGGGCCAACTGTCCTTTGGAACATATCTCTGTAGCATCTCTTCCATCTTGTCTATCTGGTTTGGGCTGACTAGAAGCCTTCTGACAAAATGATAAGCTTAAAACAGAGGATTGATTCTGAATTCCTATTCTTTGCAAGCCTGTGGCTGGCTGGCTCAAATACCCCTCTTCACTAAGGATTTTGTTGCTTGGTTACTTGGAATTCAAAGTACAGCATGCCCTGACAATTTGCGAACCTCGATTATTCGCACATGACACCCTGGATGTACCCAAGAATGTCTAAGGGTAGTTTTAAAGCTGCTGGCATTTTTGCGGCCAGGACAGGGAGCCATTCTTTCTAGAGACAGTAATTTCTTTTACCTGTATTGTGTATGTGTGTGTGTGTGTGTGTATAGAAACACACACACAAAACACCTACAAATAAATAATAATGGGAAAATCCTCTCACAAATATTCAGAAACTAGACAACAAAAGGTATTAAAAATGTGATTGTTTACCCTCAAGTCAACTCCGTGCTTTGTTATAACATTAATAACAAAATACATACATACAATATAGGTAAGAGAAATAATTGTCTTAAGGGCAAACGCATAAAGGGAATATACATTTCTTTGCACACAAGTAAGGCCCCCCCCCCCACCCCCACCCCCATCATCAAATGTTATTTGTAGATTTGGTTATTCACATCCATTTTGCGAACCTAACCTCCGTGAATCTTAAGGGCATGCTTTAGTAGAATGGCTTATAACAAAGAAACTCTGGTACATTGCTTTGGCATAAAATGAGCAGATTGGGCAGAAATGCCATATAAGATACCTCCTGTTGCCAGAGGACAGATGTTGTACCTGATATCTCCCTATTTTGGGGACAAAGAGTGGGATGAAGTCGAAGGGTGATTGGTTTACCCAAATGAGATAATAGATCAACTATGACTGACACACTGTAATTGGGGGTTATCAGATGCTTCTTGGCTGTGGAATTTGACATTATGAGGGATATCAGCATTATTCCTCCATTTTTTTTAGTAATTCTAGCTATCACTGACTTTTTTTAATACCCTATATAACTTCTTGCAAAATACCAACATAGTCTACAAAATATTTATGAAACGGATGTTTGCAGATAGCAGCTTATGGGCTGGAAGGAAGAAGTACAGTATTGCCACATCTACTACAAACCCCAAACTCTGCACAGTTTGATATGGTTCTAGATCAATTGGTACTGAACCTCAACACTACTGATGATGAGTAAGTGTAATCCTTGATTGCCTTGCAATCAATGTTCTTTGTATAACACTCCATAGATGTTTGAAACCTAATTTTCAGCTTGGCATCAGCAAAAGGACTCATGTATTTACCTACCAAGTCTTCAGGTTGCAACCCTGGCAAACCCTTGGCAGTGATAGCTGGCACTAATTAGACAATAAGTACAACTCTCCCATCTCATTCCTAGCTTTCAGAGAAGAGACTGAGAGCAAGTACCTATTTACAGAGTACCTCTCAAAATACACTTCACAAACAAAAGACACGAATCAATTGAACATGTGATGTCGAACGTGAACTGTAAACATTGCATAACCCCGCGCCACGCTTAAAACGTTGAGGATGGAATCGCGCTATGGCCAACATTCGTATGCAAAAGTTCATGTTTTACAAACAGCGTTCCCCTATTCATCAATCGCGTTGCAGCCAATTCGCGTTGACAAAACACGCGTTGTAGTAGAAATGACTGTAACTGGTATGAGTGCTGTGATGTCATTCAAGAAGGTGGCCAGCATTCAGCTTGCTGGATCTCGCAAAATTCACGATATTTTACGCCAAATATAAGACTTGGTTACATTAGGTAGTGCTTGTTAAATTAAAAAACGCAAAATGAAATCGCGCGAATTATGAGATCTTACTGTATATGAAAAAGGAATACAAATATAATTAAAAATTTGCTTGGAGAACCATACAGCCCTTGGGGGAGGGGTAAGCCAGAGTCTAGGGGGAGCAAGCCAGGTCTTGGGGGGCAAGTCAGGTCTGTGGGGGCAAGCCAGGTCTGAGGGGGGGTGTTCCCCCCCCTAACGGGCAGGACCTTCCACACTTTCCATGGGTCGCAGATGTTATGCCATTATGATATTGCGCGAGTTTTTGCACATCACTTTTTCATAACACTGACAATACAAGAGAAACATTAGGGTAGTGGCCATCGTAATGCTGATCCTTAGCCATCACTTAGTGATAAATAGTGTTAATTTTTTTACATCTTAAAACTGATCAAGCACATATTCATTGTATAATGGTCATTGCTTGTACAATATTGGGCACTTTATTTAATCAGACAATACAGTACACCTGACCTTCGCTTTATGCTATGGTTGCGTTCTGTGACAACACAGCATAATGGGAATTTGCAAATAGTGAATACTTAATCTTATGGGGAAAATTAGGATATGTTCCACAACTACTACCATAAAAGTCAACAGTAATGCTATAAAAGTTGTGAAAAATCATTACAATAATTTAATTTGGGTTAGAAATAAAGATACAGTAATATAATATAAAACTATAAACTAAGACATGAAGAGCATGGGTGTTTGTGCAGAAAGTGAAGTGTGAGGAGTAGCTGACTCACTACTCCTGCCGCATCCCGTGATATTACATGCAGCACACACACGCACACACACATTGCCACATTTCACAACCATTTCTGGAGCATTAATGCGATAAAAGTTGTAGCAAAATCATTAAAATGCTCTAACGTGGCTTCGAATTAAATATACACTGTATAATGTAATATAGTATACAGTTAACCCTTGCTTTACGCGGTCCCACATTCCACGTTTACGCGGTACCCTGCCGGAACCCGCGGTGCTTGTACCCCTTTACGGTGAGAGCGGCTGGCGAGCCGCGCCATTTTTGGATCCAAACCTCCCGCCATCTCTCCCGCCCTCTCCCGCCATCCACCATGTTGTGTAGCCCGAAACATGAGCATAAATGCTAAAAGGTTGATCATCAAAAACATTATCGAGTTCTTCACCTCGAACCAACCGCCCATCCCCGTACCATCTTCTACTTTTGTGCTAAAAACCCACATTATTGGATATTTCTCACTATTAATTGTGCATACCATCATAAAGTTAAGATAATATGTTTACCACAACATACAGTGTCGTCAAAGTGAGCTGGGTCGGCCTGGCCCTACTAAATTAATCCCATATGTTATGTTGTTCACTGATATTAATTTCCGCTGCACCCTGTGGCTGAATTAACCGCGCAAAGAGGGTTTGATTGCAGTAATATAATACTGTATATGAAAGCTCTCCGATAACAACGGTTCTACTAAGACGATTAATATTTAAGACCCTACACTATGATCCAATTCAATTTTACACCAATTATTTTTCTTTTCATTATATTTAGTGTCAGAATAAAAAATAAAATAAACAGGTTTCATAAATAACAATTAAATCCCGATATGTAGGTATTATACAACAGAAAGAAAACACGCCTTGCACACGGAGTCTGCCGGCTTAGAGTGGTGACGTTATCATTTAGTATAAACAGTCGCAGTTGGCGGGCCTTTGTTTTCGCATCTAAACAGAAAGGAGTAAAAACTTTTTATAGCCTTTGCATCCCTATTCAACGAGCAAGAGAGCAAGTGATTGTGTGCTGGTCAAAAGCTAAAAAGAAAGTATAAGCGAAGCCGAGAAACTAGATGTGTTAAAATTATGAAAAAAAGGCAGAGGATACTCGTACTCAGGTATATGGAGCAAGCAACGAACATATTTTTCTGAAGTGGATCCATGAACAGAACGAAGCATTAAAATTAACAGGTATGTGAAAAATGCATATGACCCCTTACATAAAGATAATGAGGAAAGGAAAGCAGTGTCTTGGCAGGGTTTATTACTTGAAGTCCTAAACCACCAACTTCAGCCATAATTCATCACCAGCATCATAAGTAGCTTCATCAACAACTTCAGTTACACCATCACCCAGCACAAGCAGTCATCAACAACTTCAGGTTCAGCAACAGCTATGACATCTTTATGGAAAACTACAGCTTCAGCCAGAAAGAAACCCTGATGAGACTTCTGCCATCTAAAAAACCGGTTCTATAAGCTATTAGTGGTTATTATCATATATTGTTTCATTGCATACACACTAAACATGAATTAATTTCCATTTAGCCACAACCAGGGTCTTATTTCTTCTTGGGTTTCTTTCAGAACGTTTTGTCACAGGTGTAAACACCTAACGAAAACAATGGGCGTCCCATCTCTTCTTGTGTGACCATATTATTGATTTATATTGTCTCGGAACCAACACCCCCATCCCGTGTGCCCAGCCATCTTTTCTACTAATGTAAGTGTTAAAAAACCTAATATTATTGATATTTCCTTAATTATTAATTATTGTGCATACCATCATAAAATTAAGAAGTTATTTTACTACAAGCTAGGTATTGTGTCTGAAAAAGTGGAGTTTGGGGAGTCGGCCGGTCTCTATTTCAATTAATTTCATATGTTATGTTGTTCACGTTCACAGCGTTTCTCACTTTCCGTGGTACCCTGTGGGTTGAATTAACAGCGTAAAGTGAGGGTTGACTGTACAATATAATATTATATGATACAATATAATATAATATAATAATAAAACTAGTGCACCATATCTTCTGCAGAAATCATAATAGGGATTCTTTTCCTCATAAAATAAATTATGGGTAGATTAAATTCGCTGCATAAGCAAATTCGTATACTACAGTGAACCCTCCTTCTGGCGGTCAAGTGAACCCGCGGCACCAGCTGCGAAAACTTCGTAAAAGAACAACATAACATATGGGATTAATTGAAATAGAGACCGGGCCAACCCCCAAACTCCACTTTTTCCGACACAATACCTACGTTGTAGTAAAAATAACTTCTTAATTTTATGATGGTATGCACACACAATTAATATTTAAGAAATATCAATAATATTAGGATTTTTAACACTTACATTAGTAGAAAAGATGAAGCTATTCTGCCATAAATCGAAAATTGAAAGAACCAGGTGTGGCCCTGTTTGATGCATTCGGCAGGGGTTATACTCTATAGTGAATGCACATAAATCGAGGATCCAATGTACGTAATTGTTTATGAACTCTCAACATCTCATGACTCGTGAGAAGCTGCTGGGACATAAACAAACCCATTTTACTTGCTTTTAGGGAATTCTCTAAAGTCTGAATGTAATTATTATTTAAATTATGTAAAGATTTAAATTTTGTTATTTTGTTATTTAACCCCTAGGGCTTAGGCTTTAGCTCACGTCACATGATGTGTGCTTACAGGGCTTCAGTTTATGTCATTTGAACTTTTTTAATTTCATGGTGGATCTGGCTAGATTATGTTGCCAAGTAAGCATTTATCTTTCTCTCACTCACACATGCAAGCCTCCTAGTCTCTTAGTAGCTTCTCAACTTTTGTGATGTAGGGATCTCGCTATTTGGCTTCACGTGCTTCACCACATGTGCAAGTGTAGTAGGTGGACTCGTGTGCATCAGCAGATTGTGATAAATTACTGGAGGCAGTAATGATAATTTTAAGTAGTGTCAATATTAATAACAATAAAACAAGTGTCCTGTACCTCATGCTGCTTGGACTTACGACCGTCAGGACTTACGACCGCCGAAGTTGTGACCTTTTTTTTTTTTCATTTTTTTTTCTTCAAATGACACGCATTTTCTATACCGAAACGTTTCCAGTTAATGTAGTCTCCATGTATAATTAGAAAATTATGGGGCCCCATGTGCATTCAGCTGACTACATTAAAGGTAAGTGCTCAGTCACACTGTATCCATTCCTCATTATTTATTACTTTCACTGTACTGTATCCATTCCTCATTATTTATTACTTTTACTGTACTGTATTTCATTGTAGATTTTTTATTTAAAAAAAAAATTTGAATTTTTTTTTTTTTTTATCTATGTCGGACTTACGACCATTTGGACTTACGACCTGGATTTGGGTCCCTAACCCCGCCGTAAGTCGGGGTCTAGCTGTATTACCAACCTCACCCTATTGTGTCATACGTACACACTCCACTTCACGTGCATTCTCAACTCTTCCTAGCCCCTGTGATGCCAACCTATGATACTGTATTGATGTTGCCAAATGGTTGGCCTAAGGTAAAAAAAGATAGAAGAACCAGGGAAGGTAATTACAATTTACCCAAAGAATAAAATGTCTGGCTTTCTGAGATCTGATTTTGAGGGTTTGTACCTTTGCACTGTATACAGCACTGGTGCTTGAGTTCCTGGAGTACCAAAAGATATATAAATCTTTTGAGATTACACTAAGACCCCCCTAATTTGGAAACCCCCATTAATCGGACTAGTGTCTGTGGGTGTGCCATCACTCAGAGTCAAAATTGGTGGTAACCCCCAAGCAGCCACCTTGCATCCTTGATTCCGACAGTGATTAAACCAAGAAATAAATGCTAGTTTTAAGTGTAACTGTGCAGAGAAATAAAAGTAAAACTAAACAGCATAAGTGTGTAAGTGAAACCACAGTAAAGTAGGTTTAAGCAGCCCCCATTTGTCTTCCAACAAAAGATTCATCTGCTACAATAATCTCAAAAATCATCTGCTACAATGTTAATACACTATAAATAAATACATATCGTTGACTTTAATTTTGTTTTTGGATGTGATTTTTCAGCAAAGTGGTGATCGAAATTACTGAGGGGGGTTCCACATAGGTCGGACTAGTTTGAGCCCCATATAGTCCCACTTAGGGTGGTTTTACTGTATCTACTTTCTCAAAGCCTCTTTGTCCCAAGTATTTTGGAATCCTGACACTCAATAGTAGTACAATTTACAGAGTAATGAGTTGTGATGAAATACAGAATAACCTGTAGAAAAATATAACTGAAATGATACAAGATGATAGGTGGTTGGGGGAGTGTGAATGGCAAAAGTACTGTGTTGAATATTATAGTTGTCATTGATAACATTTTCTTTTTTATGATATAATTTTGTCATTTATACAGTTTTATATTAATTTATATTTTTCATTTAATCCTTTTAATTTTCTTGTATCTAGAATACTAATGGAAGTAAAGGAAACAACAGACATCAGTGGCTTTAAGAAAGCTCGTTGGGCGATGGACCTCATTATCTTTTCATCTGAGCCGTTGAACGAAGAAGAAAAGGGTATTGAATTCTCCACAGAAAAGTCTCTGGATGATGAAAACACACCTGGAGTTTTTCATGTAAGAATATTCTCAAATTCATATCTTCTCCCTTATCAGGTTATGCTATGTACACCACATACATAGGTGGAAGTGAAGGAATGTAATTAGAAAAATAAATTAAAATTTTTTGTCTACAAACTCCAGAGGTACTGCAGGGTATATTGCAAGATAATGATGATGAAGTTTGCCACATGTTACAACCTTGTCAGTGAATGTAGAAGGTATTGTTTCATGTGCATCTTTGACCCAGCTTATTCTTATTTCTAGAGTTTCTCCAGACATCACTGCCAGTTGTGTCACCTTTTACAATGACAATGAGAGTGAATCCCTTTCTGATGGTCCTAGGGACAATGTGTTTACAGCACACTGTAAACTAAAATGTTTGATGATCAAGAATATTGAGTAGCTGGCACTTCACTTAACTGCCTTTACTTTCCCCAATAGTAAAGCTAGATACTCACTCACAACTGAGTGAACTGGGGGCACATTGGGAGTAACCCGGGAACCCTTAGGACAGAAGGTGAACATTGTATGCACTTTACCGCCACAACCTGAGTCTTTTCGTGTGAAACTTTGGGAATAAAAAAATCAATTACCCAGCTGTATCAGAAAATCAGTTCTTTTGAATAAAAAGATGAAAAAAATAAAATGGATCATACAGACAGCATATGAAACATCATTTTGAATGCCCTACCACCTGCACTCTTGATGTAAATGTTTGTTGGTGGGGTTCATATATGACAGTGCTTGCTCTGTTATGACATAGACTTGTACAGTGACCCCTCGGTTAACGAACTCAATCCGTTCCAGAAGGTCGTTCGTTAACCGAAAAGTTCGTTAACCGAAACCATTGTTTCAATGGGTTTTTGGGTAATTGGTTCCAGCTCACCGAAAATTTCCTAAATTCAACAAAAATGGTAGAAAAGTTCACTTACTTTGAGGTTTGTATGTAGAAGGCTCCTGGATGATGATGATGATGTGCATTTGAAGTGGGAGGTGGAGGAGGAGAAGGGAGAAGAGAAGGCATTGGGGTGGAAGAGAAGTCACCCCATGGCACCATTTCACCCATAAAATTTTAGTTCTCTTGGTGTATTTCAAGATTATTTTCTTTAAATCAACACTGCACTGCATTATATATTGTCAATATGTAAAATGAATTTCAAAATGACCAATAATTTGCTTGGAAACACAGAAAAAAAGCATTTAGTTGAAGAGAGTCTCAAGCAAGATGTTACCTCCAGTGAAAACAGAGAGAGACTAACGCCTGTTTGCTGTGTTAAGAGGCTGGATGCCGCGCATTAAACTAGTCACTTTACCTTCAATTATGTTCAATAATGTTAAAATGACTAAAAAATTGAATATTAAACTTTTAAAATTATTGAATAGTATAAACTTCTTGATATTTACTAAAATAGTAAGGAATTTAAGCCCTAGAACCGATTAATGTATTGGCGGACTGATACTAAAGCTGGTTGCCCGGTCAGTGCAAGCGAAAACATGTTGAGGTCGGTTGGTAAGAAATTCGTTAACCGAATTTTTGTTCGTTAACCAAATTGAAGATCCTTATGGAAGGCAGTTCGTTAACCGAAATTTCACTAACCGAGGCGTTCGTTAAACGAGGGGTCACTGTATAAAGCAAAATTGTCTAGCAAATGCCCAGGTTCAATACATACACAGAACTGAAGCTATGTTTAGAACACAGCACTGAACTTTTTCCCTTTAAATTTTTATGGTGTACAGTGGTCTCTCGGTTAACGAACGGTTCAATTAACGAAATTTTGGTTAACGAATTACCTCCCTTAAGGATCTTCAATAATACCTTGCTATTCGTAACCCCGCTTATCTGCAATTGATATTTTAGCACCCCTATTCTATATTTATGCCCCTATTTGCAAATTAAAAATTATGATACCCTACAGTAATATTTAAAACTGGGTGGGCTATCCACAGCTTTCATATTCCAAAGTAAGGCCAGTTTCACACCTACTGGGCGAACCTTCGAGTTGTGTTGTCATTTTGCAACTCGTAATTTCGAGTAGATTTATGTAATTTTATTGAATTTCTTTTACACTGTTACATGTACACAATTGTTCATACAGAATGTGCAAAAAAAAAAAGAAAAATTATGAGGTCAAAAACATAATGTAAGTATAGACAGATACTCGTATGTCCACAGTAGTTAATGTGCATTCTTGGGAGGGGAAGGAGGGAGCTGGAGGGGAGTGGTAGGTTTGGGTGGTGTGTGATAAATAATAATAATTAACAGTTTATTGAAAAGGATTAGCAGCCAGAAGGCTGAAAATATATAGTTGACAGAAGTGGCTTATTACATTGACATGTCACACAGAGATACACATACACTTTAATTGCCGTGAAGTGATTAGGTTGGAATAATAGCCCGATGACGTGGACACAATGATTTATTATTCAAAACCTGTTGAACATAACACCACAATTACACATAGAAGACTGATCATATCACAAAGTTACATTGATTATGTGATTACATTACCAATCCATACTCATAACACAACTACTGGTATATCGGCATCCAGGACTATGTTACTAGATATCTTTACCTGTACATTTTGTCACTCCAGGTAAATTTATCTCTTTTTTTTTTACATACATGTCACAGGCGTTAGAATCTTCCAGCATCCATAGCTGGTCGTTGGGTTTGGTGTCCTTTCACTTGTCAATGTTGGTACTCCCAAAGTGCTTTCCACATACATGAACTGTTGACATTGATACTCCCTAGGTACTAAGATATTTTGCTACACACACACACACACACACACACACACACACACATACACATACACACACACACACATACATACATACAAGCTGGAGCTCACATGCAAACTTTCATGTGTGTTCTGTTCAATGCCCAACTGCCCTGCCACTGCCCAGCGGACCCGAGACAAAGACGCCTTTGATTATGCCCATAAGTTCCATGGTAATGATAGCATAGTGCCCACGTGGCCCAGCTCTGCCTAGTCGCCACCTAGGGGGGTGACAACACACTTAGCAAATTTGTTTCTTATAATTTCAATTATTTATAATGAAACAAACCCCATAATAAGCTGATCATACGAAAACATCTTGAATAATGACTAAATAAAAAATCTTGTGATTGTGGCAATGGTCAATTCTACCCTCCCCATCTCCAGCAAATTTATAGATCAAGTGTCCTCTCATATTAGCTTCCTTTAGGTCTATATCCAGGGCTGGATTAACCATTAAGCAAAATAAGCACGTGCTTAGGGCACCAAAAGAAGGGGGCACCACGGGTTTTTCTTTTGAAGGTATTATGCCTTGTAGTGACCAGATCATATTTGCGATAAAACCTAATAGGCTAGTGTAAAACCGCCGTATAAAATTGGTGAAAAATATTTATCCCATTTTGTTCGTTAACTATGTTTTGCAAGGGTTTTAAACCAAGAAAACTGTGCTCCTTTTTTTTTTTTAAAGGACACGTTGCCCAATGGAAAACAGCTTTATTTTATACACGTTCAAGAACGTTCCTGAACGTCTGAAATTGTCTAAGTTCGTTCCCTCGCTTCTCAGCCCTCACTCAGGCTCTTGCAGTATCAACGAAATGTGTCTATTTTAACGTGTGGTATGAGGTGGATTGTGTGAAGTAACAAGTAAGTTTCTGAATTTCTCATTGATTAAATTACTTTATATTTACAAAATAAAGAGGTAGATATTTTAACTATATAAATATATTGTGTTACTAAATTAAGAGCAGTAACTCTAGGCAAGTTGTTATAATAAAATAAATTTAAATCAAAATTGTCTAATTTAAGTGGTGCCTCAAGTATCAATGTTTGGCTTTAAGCTCTTTGTTTTTATTTCTTAGTAATATTTAACTGTATTTGTTCTGGTTCTAGTCTAACATCAGTGAGAAAAATTGTAGGATCTGAAACGTGGGGTGGCCTGGAAGAAACACAGATTTATTATCTGTTTATCAGTATTCATTGAGTCTTAATCATGGTCTTAATATACTTACATCCCAGTTAAGCAATGGGGAGGGCGAGGGCACCATTGTTGGGTAGCAAGGCATCAGACCAGCTAATCAGTACATCATATCAGATCTGATTAGACCACTGTGCAGTATCTGCTGGTGAGTACTTTTTTTTTTATGGGCATTTGCCCACCTGGGCACAAGTCATTTCATAATGACCCACATCAAGGCCTGGGGGGCAAAAATATAAAATAATAATACAGTAAAATTAATAAAAACTAATAAAAATAAATAACAATTATAATAAAGTAAAGATTAATACAATAATACTATAAAAATTAATACAAAATAATAATTATAAAGAGCCATAAATAAAAAAAAAATTAAGAATGAGAAATGATACAGTAAACCCTTGATAACTTGGCAGGGATATGGTCTCAGAATATAATAGTATAACTCGGGAAATGCCGAGATACAGTGATATACCCATGAGCCGGAACAATTGGTGCAGAGCTTTTCCGGGAATGAGAGATTTCCGGGTAATGAGACGACTCTCAAAGCCGGAAAAAAAGGCCCTCATCCCCGGAATTTTCCGGGTAACGCAAAATTTTTCTCGGAATTTCCATAAAATGCGCTTGATTTACATCTCTCATATCCAGAAAAAAATGCCCCCATCCTTGGAATTTTCCGGTTTCTCGGAATTTCCTGAAAATGTGCCCGTCGGAAAATCGTTCCCAAAGCCAGAATTTCCAAGAAAATTACGGCTCTGGGAACGATTTTCCGAGAAAATTTCAATTCCGACTATCGGAGAGTTCCGGGTTTGAGGGATTCTGGCTAAAGGAGATATCACTGTATTTAAAATTATATGGGAAAATCTCTGCATATCTGGCCACTTGCATCACCTACCATACCTCTGTGTCACCTACCATGCATCTGTATCTCCTACTAAGATGCTTCATTCTTTGCCTGCAGTGTTGGTAAGTGTTACTTATTTACATTTAGTAATTACATGTTCACATATATGGGTCGATAATTTATTTTATTTCTTTGTAGGAGGGGGGCAGTGCCTCGATAAGTCGGAATTTGGATAACTCGGCAAGGAAAGAACCCCATATGTGCCGAGTTATCGAGGGTTTACTGTACAAGGTATATGTATGTTGTGTTGTCAAAGTAAGAGAAACAATTGAGACCCTGCAATTGTGTGTAAATGAGGCAGAAAGTCAGATCAGCAACATAGGACTTGTCGCAATTTTTGTGATGCCATATGGCAGCAGGGTCTACCATTAGACAACACATTATGCTTCCAATATCTTCCCAGGCGGTAGTACCTCCCTGTTTGATAGCTGCCTACTACCTACTACTCTATACAATAGTATATTTTGTTTATTTACAATACATTGTACATGTACAGTAGTGTCTGCATAAGTAAATACAGCTCTGTGTCTCTGACTGCAGTCCGTAATGGAAACAATCACCAGTGCCTGGAAAAATTTCAGTCTTGCAATTGTTTCCAGGAATAAGAAAATTTGCCTCAATACCCGGAAATCTCTCAAACCCGAAACCACTCGGTACCAATTATTCTGCTAACAAGGAGATTACTGTATTGTAAGATCATAAAGATAGATTAGGTTTGGTTTGTCTCATTTTGTCTCAAAGTTGATGGTTTATGCTCACTTTATGTACCAGACTGTGTCAATTGTATTTTGCCTGTTTCACCTTGTTTTTTCTACATATTCACTGTTCAGCATATTATTTTGGCAAGGTAAATTGTTTCTTCTAAGTAATTATGAAAATTGTTTGGAGTTTTGTAAGGGAATTCTACTTAGAAGCTGTGCGCCACTAAACTGAACTGTAATTTGCCTTATGAATTTCAACACAAAAATGCTTATTTGGAAAAGTGAAAATTTCACAATTCCAGCATGTTGTCAGTCCCAAAAGTGCTGGATTTCTTAGGTTATATTGCGTTTGTCATTTACATTCAGGTTGAGGATATGAGAAAGTATTTCCATCTCCTCCTAAAACTTCTCCTCCTCCTTCCATGCCACACAAAATTGGGAGAAAAGGAAATCTAATAGATACTGTATAATTATTTTACAGCTGGACCAGATAACCACAAAATTGGCACGAACAACTAAGCAGGGAGGTTACATGCAGTGGCGGCCTGTGAGTTACCTTAGTTCAGACCGGGATATTAACTTGTCCACTGACCCAAACATTGATGGCAACTTTACTTCACTGACGGAAATCTCTATTGCCCTGGAAGAGTCTTTGGCCTATGCAGTGTTTGGGGATAAATTGGAATCAGCAATGACTGCCCAGACAAAAGTTTCTTTTGGCCAGAAGAAGGACAAATTTTATGCTGCAAATAACTACACCACATGGTAAGAAAGTTATAATTTGTTTGTTAAAAAACTAAGAGCTTAATCCTTAAATATCAGCTCTCATCAGTGTAAGTTTACCCTCTCGTGCATGCAATAAGTGACCACAATAAAGGTCATATGGGACCAATTCACATGAGGTCTGGTCATCATATTTGTGCGACCAATTTATCCCACAATATTTTTCTTTTTGAATGATTTATGCATCACTGGCTTCATTATTGTTTGGGCTTTGATATACAGTAGAAGTCCAAAAATCCGGACTGCTTGGGGATTGGGTCGGTCCGGATTTTCGGATTTTCCGGATTCTCAGGCAGTACTTTAAAATTCAAATTTAATGAAGAATAAAGAAGAAATGAACAGGTACATTTTGATAGTTTATTCATTTGCAAATATAGCATGCTTCATTTATCAAAACGAGAAGTTTTAATGAAAAAGCTGTGAATTCTAAATTTTATTCTTTGCCTTTTATATATCATAAATTGTAGACTTTCCAATGTCGTATGTTTCCATTAGAACAGTATTGCTCACACCACGATCTAGTTTCTTAATTATTTCAAGTTTGTCACTCAATTTCAATGTGTTCTTCTTTCTCTTCACACAATGAAGTTTATCTACTTTAGGAGCTATTTTTATGGGCTTGTACAGTACTCTGTAAATGGAAAGAGTAGGACTCAAAATATTGTTATATTGCAATGGTATTCTATTCATACTGTGCTTGATATAATGCATTCACGGAAATGTAATATTTTTGCTGAACGTACGTATTACAGTGGAAAGTGGGATAAAATCGTGATGAAAACAATGACTTTCGCTTTCTTTCGTTCAAAAGATGTTACCGTAATCGCTTTTCGAATGGTTTTCAGTTCAAAAACTTTTGTATTACAATAATATTCTATCCTAATTGACTTGAATAAATACTACGATACCATATTTCTGAATATTTTCATTAAAATCCATCAAAATCATTTTCCTTGTCATCGTCTGCAGCACCAAACAGCTTCTCCCAGTCCTCTCTTTGAACAGGGCTAGAGGGTACGTGTTTTTCGAATCGTTTTCAGTTAAAAAACTATTACATCACTCGTCTATTTTACCTAAACTGCGCCTGAATGAATATATTCTCGGAGATAAATAGTAGTTTTGTGGAAACGTGACGTATTTCAATGTAAAATAGGATAAAATACATGACGAAAACAAAAGACTTTACCTAAGCTTCCGATGTTCTTGAGATGTTACTCGTTTTTTTAATAGTTTTCGGTTAAAATTCTGATATATTACAATGATATTCTATTCATACTGTGTTTGATATAATACATTCACGGAAATGTAATATTTTTCCTGAAATTACATACGTATTACAGTGGAAAGTGGGATAAAATCATGACGAAAACAATGACTTTCGCTTTCTTTCGTTCAAAAGATGTTACCGTAATCGTTTTTCGAATGGTTTAGTTTAAAAACTGTTGTATTTCAATAATATTCCCTCCTAATTGACTTGAATGGAAATATACAATATTTTTGTTGAAACTACCCGGGTTTCAGTGTAAAGTGTCGTAATAATAAATGGTAAACAATTTGCCTTCAGCACTTGTGTTTCATGCACGGCGAGCCTCAGTTTATAGGACGTAGAGCTTTTTTAGTGGTTTTGTTGTTCCATTACCCTCAAAAACGTGGGTGGAACTATAAACGAGGAATATCATAAATTAACGATTTCTTGGTCAAAAAATCAGGGTTGACTGATAACGAGGGGGGGTTATAGACGAGTATATACGGTATGTTGTCACAGTTTGATTGCCCATTTTAAAGTGGCGACCACGTGGTCGCTTGTTATCGCTGTGCAGCTGTGGCGCTTACGCATGCGCACATGCACACAAATGCCCGCTAAAAAAAAAAAAATAGTTTTTGAAAAGTCCGGATTCTCGGGTGGTCCGGATTTCTGGCATCCGGATTTTTGGACTTTTACTGTAAGTAGAAAAAATATAAGACGTGTATTTTTTTCGTTCCGAATAAAGAAAAAAAAATTCCCAGCATCATATCTCTGATACATTACGTTCTCACAAAGCTACTCAGCTATTATATACAGTTGTACCCCGATTTACGCGGTCAATTGAACTCACAGGGTACCGCGTTAAGTGAAATCCGCGTAAATGGAACAACAGAACATATGGGATTAATTCCAATAGAGACTGGCCCGACCCCCAAACTCCACTTTTTCAGACACAATACCTACGTTGTAGTAAAAATTACATCTTAATTTTATGATGGTATGCACTCACAATTAATAATTAAGAGAAATATCAATAATATTAGTTTTTTTAACACTTACATTAGTAGAAAAGATGGCTGAGCACACAGGGATGGGGGGTTGGTTCCGAGGCAGAGGGCAGATTATTGGCCCTCACCTGTATCACTTGTATCAATTGTATCACTATCCACCACATAGGCTTACAGGGCCTCTTTGTCAAACCCCTCAAAGTCCATATAAGTCCATATCCTCACTATCACTATCACTGACTTAGGCCGGCTGTGGTGGGTGGCGGGTGAAGAACTCGGTAATGTTTTGATGACTGGGCGACCTTGTGCGCATCCTGCCCACGCCGCTTCCCACGTATATGGGTAGACGAACCGCATAAAGTGAAAGTTCGGTTCTGGCAAGGCACCGCGTATATGAGAAATCGCGTAAAGTGAAACCGCGTAAAGCGGGGTACAACTGTAGTTAAATAGAAGCAGAATTTTATGAGCTTTCCAATGATTGCTTTGGAAATTTGATATGACTGATTGTGGAGAGGGTGGGAGAGGAAATACTGTAAAGAGATAAATGCGACTTACCAGCATGGCTGATAGGAGGAAGCTGTTGGACAGCGGAACTCCACCCATGCTTTGGTACTTTCTGGAAGCTTCCTTCGCAACTTCGTGCAGTTATCTATGATGCACAAAATATTGACGCAATTGTCTTGATTTTTTTATTTATTTTTTTTTTATATAGTTTAATGACGCAATTGTAGTCACCGATGCAAATAGTGCTATCCAATGATTTGCGTCATGATGCGCGAGGCGGTTAACTGTAGGGACAACATGCATCATTATTATGAGGTCAAACGCATAAAGGGAATAAACATTTCTTTGCTCACCAGTTAGCAGGCAGAGTGGGGTAGGGAGCGGAATGTGTGGGGTGGGGCGTTGCTAGGAAGTCGGCAAAGACATTGTCCTAGGTGGGCTTTGTGGTATGGTAAGTGTTGAGTTGAAGCAGCCAGTGTATATACAAATGGCATTTTTGTTAAACTTTCATTTGGCTCTTCCTTAGGTTTAGCTGCATTTATTTTTAATTCTAGATCTTCTACAAATTTTGTTTGTTTGAAGTAGCACAGTTGTTAAATAACATTAAGAAAGGTAGGTACGGTAGTATGAGTATGAATACTGTGAAAGGAGGTACATGGAGTTGTGAGTTTTCTTCACAGCCTTTCAACTTTCCATAAAGGCTGTTACTTTGGATCTGTGATATTATTCTTTATTTTTTGTATTTTTATTTATTTTTTTAACTTGGTTTTCAGTACAGGTTGAATCTCGATTTAACGGCACTGGATTTACCGGCAACTCACATTTAATGGCAAAATTTAGAGATCAAAATTTTTTCATTATTTGTTTATCTTTTTTAAGGCCTGCCCGTAATTTCCACTAGTCCTTACCTTCTGCAACGCTCCCGTGGTCAGTGTATTTTGGCATTAAAATCCAGCTGGTGCTGTGCTCGTGTGATCGCCTTAAATTTCTACTTTCTTTGCATCAATTATGTCCTCTAAATGACCTGAAAACCTGACTGGAGTTGCTAGCCACCCAAAGAAGAAAAGAATTTCCCTGAAAATTTTGCAGAAGGTTGCAATATTATGGAAAATGGTGCCAGTTTAATGAAACATTATTGAAAAATAATTAAGCCCCCCCCCCCAGAAAAAAAAAAAAATTTGCACACTCAATCCCAGATGAGCTATTGCTTCGTAGTATATTTTCAGTCTCTTGTTTATAAAATGGTAACACTGACCCCCACTTCACTAATAGTGTTGCCAGCACTCGCCATCTCTCAAGCACTGTTGTTGACACTGTCCTAGAGGGCTGGTGGTTACCACAGGATCTGTCTTGGACACTTAGTAAATAATATTGTAGCATATTTATCAGAACTTAATAAATGTTATTGTAGTGTTTAATACGTCTCCGTATGCCCTGGTTTATCCTCACCTCGTCACCCCACCTTGCAGTGTTACATTTATTTATTACTATTATTTACTTTATAATTACTGTACAGTATGTACATTTCGAAAAAAAAAATTTCCTCAGTAATTATAAATACGTAGATTATTTTATGTGGCAGCCAAGGCAAGGCGCAAAAACTGAGCAGAAGACGAACGAATAAAAAAATTGAACACACATCAGCTGGGTGGTCACCAGTTGACTCAGAGACTTGTGTGTGTCCTGACACGGACATGCAGTTACTGTTCAGTGCTCACTGCCTCCACACACATATGTTCACTTCCCACACATACGCACCCATGCACTTCAGTTTTCTTATTTTATGGTAGTTTTATATTCTATTTTCTTTATTTGTAAGCCACTTTAGAGTATAGTAATTTTTACTCTTTTGCTCTGTATTAGAGAAAACAATTTTACTAGGGTAGACTAATATCCTGAGAAATTTATGTCCCTTATTTTTTTTTACAATTTATCATCTTCACCACTGATCGGCTCGTTAGCCGCTTGGGCAATCGGTCACGTCTGTTACCTTTCTCTTTCTTTTATCCTCTTCACCAAATGATTGGCTTGTTAGCCTCTTGGGCGATCAGTCACGTCTCTGTTATGCACTGTTGGCAAGTACTCGGCATGCACCAGCTCCTGAATGTACCTGAACCTGCTCCAGTGTTAGTCAAGTCTGGTCTTCAAAGAGCTCACACTCGGTGCCGTCACAACACTTTCTGGTAGATTGTTCCAAGAGTTTACAACCCTCACTCCGAAAAAGTTTGCCCTCACAGTTTTCTGGACTTGCGGC